ACAAGTAATAAATGGGCTGGGTGACTGTCCCTAGGTCACCTAGACAGTTTTCATGCCAATGGCAGGAGTAGAACTCAGAGCTTCCTGGTGATTAACCTGGCTCAGCCAGCTTTGTGCCTAAGGAGGGATTAGAACTCCCTGTCTCCTGTTTCCAAGCCAGCACCTTAACCACCAGACCAGGGATCTGCAACCTTAAACACTCAAAGAGCCATTTGGATCCGTTTCCCACAGAAAAGAAAACACCGGGAGCCACAAAACCCTTCCCGTGCCTGACTATTTCTTGAGCTGCCACAAAACTAGCGTATGTAGTTGAATTAAACGTTCTGATTTCTTCTGAAACTTTTCTTTTCTTGGATTTATCCATGGTTGGCCTACCGGGATTGAAAAGCTCAATAAATCACGTGCCAGTGGGTGTCGCACATTGGCAGTTGTGACCATATTTTCAGTGACAGGGAGCCACAGCAGAGGGTTGAAAAAGCCACATGCGGCTCCAGAGCCGCAGGTTGCTGACCCCTGCACTAGACCAGTATTGGTGATCCTTTTCGGCACTGAGTGCCAAAACAGGAGCCCTCGCGCGGGGGTGAGGAACACCGGAAACCAGAAGAGCAGCTCCCTGGCGTGCATGTACGGGAGCGCCGGAAACCCGAAGGTCAGTTCCTCGGTGTGAGCTTCCAGTTTCTGGGGTGCACATATGTGCCGGTCACCTGGTCTTCCTGTTTCTGACGCGCACGAAGACTAGCTGGACAGCGCACATGCATGCAATGGAAACTCAGCTTTCTGGTGTGCACATGTGCACCAGGGAGCTGCTCTTCCGGTTTCCAGCACTCCTGCGTGCACGAAGACCAGCTGGCTGGCACACATGTGCATGCTGGAACCCGGAAGAGGAACGGGCGACGGCTGGCATGCCTGGAGAGACGGCTCTGTGTGCCATTTCCGGCATGCGTGTCTTAGGTTCGCCAACACGGCACTAGACCAAACTGGCATGTCAGTGGGTAACTGAGCAAGTACATGAATTGATGAATGAGAGGCAAACAAAAACACTAAGTAACTTGTATGCTTGTAACCCAGAAAGAAAGAGGAAGGGTAAGATTCATCTGGGTGTAAGTAAAATGGAGTTGTTGAAAAGGGAAATGTTGAATTTTCACACTGTCCTCCAAGGCTACCAGAAGATGCATCTAGTATGTGCTCCTTCTTTTCATGTTACTGTCAGTCATATAAGACAGATCAGACTAAGAAACCAACATCATATAGATCAGGATTACTTTTACAGATAGTCCTCATTTAGTGACTGCCGCATTTAGCAACTGTTTGCGGTGATGAGGGTGATGCAAGAACCAATCCTCGCGTGTGCAACTTTCGCAGGTCTGTAAAGCAAAGGAAAGCTGAAGTGAGATCAGTCACAGTTTTCTTTAGTGATTGCTTTGCTTAACAACTGAGTTTCCAGTCCCAACTGAGATCGCTAAATGAGGACTGCTTGTATTGGAACAGCTTGTGAGAAGAGAAATATATCCATTGGAAAGTTGCAGGTAATAAGGCCTAGGAGCGGACTTGCAGGCCTCACTGAACCAAAGTTTTAAACTAACATAATTGCAAAATGTACCAGACTTATTTCTAATGTGCTGACTTGTGTGCTGTATTTTCTACAAAGCATGTAAAGGTAAAGGTTCCCCTCGCACATATGTGCTAGTCATTCCTGACTCTAGGGGGCGGTGCTCATCTCCGTTTCAAAACCGAAGAGCCAGTGATGTCCAAAGACATCTCCGTGGTCATGTGGCCGACATGACTAAACGCCAAAGGCTCACCGAACGCTGTTACCTTCCCATCAAAGGTGGTCCCTATTTTTTCTACTTGCCTAGCTTTCGAACTGCTAGGTTGGCAGAAGCTGATACTTCTTGTATGGATATATTTAGAGCAGGAAGAATGAGACGGTGGGAAATGAGGAACTGAAAAGTAACAAATGAGAGCTTCAAATGTACACAAATGTACATGAGAGTGACGGTTTAATAAGAATGTAAGAAAGAACAGGGAAGTGAAACTATGGAATGCTTATACCTTAAGAAGGTATAAGAAATGTGATTTGAGATGGGAATGGTGTCATTTGCCCAATAGCAGTCCTGTGTCATTGGACCCCATTGCAATGGTTTAATAATGTAAGCTTTTTTTCGTGAAATTGATGATGCCTGTTCATGTTCCAAATTGCTCATGCAATAAACCCCTGAATCTTAAAGTAAGATTTATTGCTTGTGGTTTCCTCTTTGGTTTTTTGTTGGGATATTTTTATAACAAGCTTTAGAAACCGAATATTGCAATTCTGAATGTGCTTTCCTCTTCTTCCCTTTTATCTTTTTGTGAATTAGGGATGGGGCTTGTCTAAGACATTTTCTCAAGTTATTTTCTTGATCAGGCAAGAAAGCAGTCCTTTCACTCAGAATTCAACGTTTTCCTTTTCATCAACTCCATTTTACTTACACCCAGATGAATCTCACCCTTCCTCTTTCTCTCCGGGTTACAAGCATACAAGTCATTTAGCGTTTTCGTTTGTCTCTCATTCATCAATTCATGCGCTTGGTCAGTTACCTACTGAAATGCCAGTTTGGGCTTCCAGATAGAATGGAATGGAATGGAATGGAATGGAATAGAATAGAATAGAATAGAATAGAATAGAATAGAATAGAATAGAATAGAATAGAATAGAATAGAATAGAATAGAATAGAATAGAATAGAATAGAATAGAATAGAATTCTTTATTGGCCAAGTGTGATTGGACACACAAGGAATTTGTCTTTGGTGTATATGCTCTCAGTGTACATAAAAAGAAAAGATACGTTTGTCAAGAATCATAAGGTACAACACTTAATGATAGTCATAGGGTAAAAATAAGCAATCGAATCATACTAGGAAACAATCAATATCAATATTGATAATATTCAATATTAGTATTAATATTAATAGATAATCTTCATGGTCAGCCTTGCATGCAGCACCTTGCATGAGTCAAGCAGTCAGGTGACTAGGGATTGAGTTGACATAAAGTTTACTTTACTGTGGAAGATGCACTGCAAGTAACTTTTTCAGTGCCATTGTAAGTTGGAACAGTTGCTAAACAAATGGTTGTAAGTCAAGGACTATCTCTATACTGTCCTAGGTTTTATTTTATTTTATTTATATCCCACCTTTATTATTTTTATAAATACTCCTACTTCCTTACTCTTTATAGTAGGCTTTGCAACTGGAAGCTTCTTGGGGGGCAGCAATCCTTCTTTTGCAATTTGCGAAGCTCTCCCCGCCCGGATGGCACTAAATCAAACCCTTTATATAGTAAATTAGGCGCTTTCTATCCCTTCCCTTCAGTTGTGTATGTGTATGTGTGTGTGGGGGGGGGAAATCCAAGTCGTGGAGGACCCTCCTCTTTTTTCCTGAGCCAGATTGTGTGGAAAATCTATAAGAAAGATAAATATAATGTCCCGTCGTCTCACAAGGAAGCCCCGGGAGGGAACCAGGCGGAGTCCGGGGAAAGCCAGAAGGAGACCCGTTCGAGCGTTGGAGCGGCGCAACTTGCTTTTGAGGTCCCGCTCGGTTCTCCCTTCCTCCTTCGCAGCCACACGCCAGCGCCCCCCAAACCAGAGGCCCCCCTGACAGCTGAGCAGGAAGGCGCGAGTTAATTTCAGAGCCGAGAGAGAGAAAGAGAGAGAAAGAGAGGGAGGGAGGAAGAGGAAAGGAATGGAAGGAAGGAAGAAAGAAAGAGAGAAAGACGAGAAGAAAGAAAAAGAACAAAGGAAAGAAATAAAAGAAAAAGAAAGGGAAGAGAAGAGAAGGAAGGAAGGGAGAAAGAGAAATAAAGTGAAAGGAAGGAAGAGAGAAAGAAGGAAGGAAAGAAAAAAGAACGAAGGAAAGAAAGAAAATAAAAAGAAAGGGAGGGAGGAAGGGGGAAGGAAGGAAGGGAGAAAGAAAAGTAAAGTGAAAGGAAGGAAGGAAGAAAGAAGGAAAGAAACAACGAAGGATAGAAAGAAAAGAAAAAAAGAGGGAAGAAAGGGAGAAGGAAGGAAGGGAGAAAGAGAAATAAAGTGAAAAGAAGGAAGGAAGGAAAGAAAAAGAACGAAGGAAAGAAAGAAAAGAAACAGAAAGAGGGAAGGGGGGAGAAGGAAGGAAGGAACGAAGGGAGAAAGATTAAGAAAGAGAAAGAAAGGAAGGCAGGAAGGAAGGACGGAAGAAAGGGAGAGAGAAAGAACGGAGGGAGGGAGAGAGAGAAGGAAGGAATGAAGGGAGGGAGGGAGAAAGAAATAAAAGAAAAGCAGGAAGGACGGAAGAAAGGGAGAGAGAAAGAACGGAGGGAGGGAGAGAGAGAAGGAAGGAATGAAGGGAGGGAGGGAGAAAGAAATAAAAGAAAAGCAGGAAGGACGGAAGAAAGGGAGAGAGAAAGAACGGAGGGAGGGAGAGAGAGAAGAAAGGAATGAAGGGAGGGAGGGAGAAAGAAATAAAAGAAAGGCAGGAAGGACGGAAGAAAGGGAGAGAGAAAGAACGGAGGGAGGGAGGGAGAGAGAGAAGGAAGGAATGAAGAAAGAAATAAAAGAAAAGCAGGAAGGACGGAAGAAAGGGAGAGAGAAAGAACGGAGAGAGGGAGAGAGAGAGAGAAGGAAGGAATGAAGAAAGAAATAAAAGAAAAGCAGGAAGGACGGAAGAAAGGGAGAGAGAAAGAACGGAGGGAGGGAGAGAGAGAAGGAAGGAATGAAGGGAGGGAGGGAGAAAGAAATAAAAGAAAGGCAGGCAGGAACGGAGAAGGAAAGAAAGGAAAGAAAGAGGGAGAGAGAAGGAAGGAACGAAAGAAAGAAAGAAAGAAAGAAAGAAAGAAAGAAAAAGAAAGGAAAGGAACGGAGGGAAGAGAGGCGGGGAGGCATCCCCGGCTCCGCATTCGCCGCCACCCGGCCACTGCTGAGCGAGTCCCCGCCTCGCCAGAGCCGCGAAAAGGGGGTTTATGCAAATCCCGGATGAGATCAGCCGCGAGCAACTGGCTGCCAACTCCGGAGCGGCGCTCCCTCCCTCGCCAGTTACGTGCCGGGGGGCAGCGGGGAACGCGGCGCTCTCGGCAGGGCCGGTTCCCACGTCTCTCGTTCTCCTCTCGCCCGGGCAACTTCCCACCGCCGCTCCTCGCCTTGGATACCCCGCGGGCGGGCCGGGGCCGAGAGCCGGAGGTGGTCTCGGCGGAAGGGATTCCTGGGTTTTTCCAGCCGTCCGGGAGCTGGTCGGATTTTACGCCCCGCTGTTGGAGAGGAGAGGCGAGGCAAAAGGTAAATCGCGGGGCTTCGGGCGACCTCGGACCGTGAGTGGCGGGGCTCGCTCGCTTCCCGGCGCCGCCTTGGTTTGAAACCCAGAGTCCACCTGCTGTGGACTTAGCGGCGGGGACGGCGGTGGAAGTGGACTCCGAGCGGGAAGAAATGAGGGCGGCTGGGCGCGACTTGAGGACAGACTTTGCTTCGTGTCGCGTTTTTAACCCAGAACGCGCGCGGGGTTCTTGAGGGAGACAAGTGCTCCTGACCATGGGCAGAGTGCCTTCCTCTCAACGTTCGGAACTAAGGGCCTGTGGAATAGATTCTCAACCATCCAGGTCGTGGTTGTCCCAAGGGGGCTTTTTTTTTCAAGAGGGCAACTGGACTTTCTGATTATTTTTTTTTTCTTTGAAGACCTTTCGCTTTGGAAGGTGTCCTTCTTCAGAGCTGACGAAGCTTCTTGGATGAGAAGCGAAACGTCTTCAAAGAAAAAACAGAAAGTCCAGTTGCCTCTTGAGAAAAAAAAAAAGCCCCTTTGGGTTCGGAACTAAGGCAAACATGACCAGGAATAGGCAGCTTCGTTGAATGAGGACCCAGATTGTGGGGGCAATAAACTGACTTTGTATAAATAAAAGAACACAGTTTGGGGGGGGGGGCAAAAGCCCTACTAAGCAGGTATATACAAAAGTATGAAGGCTACTGCTTAATGCGTTGTAAGCCGCCCTGAGTCTCCGGAGAAGGGCAGCATATAAATCGAACCAATAAATAAATAAATGATCGGCACACACTTGGGCTAAATTATCATGGGTTTGATTTGATTTTTGGTTTGCCATGCTGGGGGTACCAAGATTGATGGTTTAACAGAGATCTCTTTTGCCTGGCCTTGAGTGGTTAATGAAATCACAGTTCCCTGCAATAGACCCGAGTTGGGTGCCTAACTTGTTTTGTCGCATAAAAATACTCAAAATTATACCTGCTGGAAAGCAACGCCTACGCAAAATGGTTTCAGGTGTATCTGGGGCAGATTCGCGTTCTGTGCTTCGTTTCGCTGAGGGCCGTTTTTGTTGTGTTTAATTCCTTATTAAAAAAAAAAAAGGGCTACGGGGAAATACTGGAATGTGTATTTACATATAAAACCCACGTGAGGTGGAGTTGCTCACCCATTTGCACAGGGAGTTTTATATCTAAAGACAACCTTAGCTCACCACAGGCAGCCCTTCCCACTTTCTCTGCTTTCCTGCATTTTGGGAGATAGATGGTTGAGGGAGGCGTGACTTTCTGTACTTGGATTGAGAAATCAATACGGATCTGCAGTTCCCACAGTGGGAAATTTAGACTGGCTTCCACACCCTCTAATCTAATCTAATCTAATCTAATCTAATCTAATCTAATCTAATCTGGGGGATTGAACAGATGGGAGGGACCAAAAGGTTATCGTTTCCAAGTTTTCTTTCATTTCCTTTTTGTTTGTTTGTTTGTTTGTTTGTCAGTGAGGCCATCCGTTTTTCAAAAAGCAGGTAGATTCGCAACTTTTGTCCTTTCTTATTGTTTTGTGTGTTGTGTGCAAAGAATATAGTCATTTGTATAGGAACAAAAAAGTTTATATTAGAAACCTACCTTGGATCGTCAGTAACTGAGTTTAAACCTGCTTGGGATAAAACACATGTCGACCGTCTGACCAAGATTTAAAAAAATCAAATAAAAATAATAATTAAAAATAGTGAATGAATAAGTCAATAAATAAATACAGAAAACAAAAACAACCATAAAGCACGAGAGGAAACTCAGTGGAGCCCTGTATTTATTTACTGCTGTCAGCTTTCTGTGTTTCTGTTTAAAAATTCACTGGTGCTGCGAAAAAGTTTAAAAATTAATGCTTTTAATATAGGAGAAGCTGGGCTAGTCTGCCCTTCAGGGTGGTCATTCCATTTATTTTGGAGATATGGTAGTGACTGCAATCCGAGTACTTCTGTTACACATAATTATTAATTAGCACTGGAACGTATATAATGAATGTATGTTCATGATCACAGTCCAGATTTTAACCACGTGGTTTGCAAATTAGCATGGCTAAAAAGGAGCAGAGTGATTCTTTGTGGTTGCTTTCTTCTTCCTGAGGGCCTGCAAGTGCCAAACCAGATAATGGCTGTTTTTGATGCAGGATCAAAAATGATGATGGTGTCCCAGGATTGAACCAAAGGGGTTATCTGTAAGATTAGCTTGCTTCCTGCTACTTTGCTGGCCCCATCTTTATGTATGGGGCTCTACTAGATCCATGATGGCAAACCTATGGGCCCGTATAGGTGGGCACGCGAGCTCAGCTCCAGTGTGTATGTGCGTGCCGGCCAGCTGATTTTCGGGCCTTCTGGGCCCACTGGAAGTAGGGAAACAGGCTGTTTCCTGCCTTCCGAGGGCCTCGAGGGGTGGTGGGGAAGGCCCATTTTTTTCTCTCCCCAGCCTCCAGAGCCTTTCTAGGAGCCTGGGGAGGGTGAAAACGGCCTCCCCCCTCGGAGGCCCTCCGGAGGCCAGAAATGGCCCCTTTGTCTGGGGAGAGAGAAAAACAGGCCCACCATGCCATCACGTGCCAGGAGTGGGGGGGAGAGAGTGGGGGGGGGTCGTGCGCACATGCGCGGGGTGCATAGAATTATGGGTGTGGGCACGTGTGCGCGCGACACCCCCCGCTCCTGGCATGTGATGGCAAAAAGGTTAACCGTCATTGTACTAGATAGTTTTTTTGTAGCAAGTAACCCCTAATAATAGAGTTGGAAGGGACCTTGGAGGTCATCTAGTCCAACCCCCTGCTCACACAGGAGACCTATACTAGGGATTCGAACTGCCGAACTGCCAATCTTTCTGATTGACAAGCTCAGCGTCTTAGCCACTGAGCCACCTAGCTAGGCATATGAATACTGTTATTTGTAGTGCAGGCCTCCTCGAATTGCAACAGTTCATTTAGTGACAGTTTAAAGTTACAAAGGCAGTGAAAAAAGGGATTTATGATCATTTTTTCCACCGTTATGACGTTTGCAGTGACCATGTGATCAAAATCCAGCCACTTGGCAACTGATTCCTAATTATGGCGGTTGCAGTGTCTCAAAGTCATGTCATCCCCTTTTGCAACATTCTGACGAGCAAAATCAATGGGGGAAGCCTGATTCACTTAACAGCAGGTTTACGAACTTATCAACTGCAGTGTTTCACTTAACAACTGAGGCAAGAAAAATCGTAAAATGGGACAAAATGACATTGAACAAATGTCTCACTTAACAACAAAAATTTGTGGGCTCAATTGTGGTCGTAAATTCAAGACTACCTGTATTATTTGGGGAGAAGAGGACCAAGAGGTATCTTTTTTGGGGGGGGGGGATTTGAAATTGGTGAGAAATGGGCAAACTGTAGGCACAATGGTTTTCACCTCTGAACCTATAGTAAACTAATTGTCAATGTTAGCAACTTAACATATGTGGACTTCAACTCCAAGAATTCCCCAGCCAGCCATTAGTTTATTTATTTATTTATTTATTGGTTCGATTTATATGCCGCCCTTTCTCCGGAGACTCAGGGCAGCTTACAATGCGTTAAGCAAAAGCCTTCATACTTTTGTATATACCTGCTTAGTAGGGCTTTCGGCCCCCCCTAAGTGATGTTCTTTTTTATACAAAGTCAGCTTATTTCCCCCACAATCCGGATCCTCATTTTACCTACCTCGGAAGGATGGAAGGCTGAGTCAGCCTTGAACCTGGTGAGATTTGAACTTGCAGTAATTGCAGGCAGATGGTGCTACTTAACAGCACTTTAGTCTGCTGCGCCACCAAGGCTCTTTAAAGAGTTCACATATCCACATATTGTTGAAGTTCACATATCCTAAAGTTGCCAAGATTGAGAAATATTTATATAAGAATTAGTATCAGATAATGTTGCCCTCCCAATCTGACCTTTTGGGGTACAGATAGTGCTCAATTTACAGCAATTTGTTTACTTACCGCTGGAAGCTAACAGCAGCACTGATAAATGTGATTTTAACCAGTTCTTGCACTTCATTGTTGCAGCATCTCCTCAGTCACATGATCAAAATTTGGGTGCTTGGCAATTGGCATGTAGTGTCCTGGGGTCATGTGAGCGCCATTTGCAATCTTTGTAAGACTCTAGATCTAGAAATATGGAAGAGTAAGCCCATTTGGATTTTCTTTCCCAAAGTTTTAGCATCGGCGGCTTTGCAAATCCAATAGAACTTTATAAAATACATTAAAGAACACAAGTAGTGGCTTAACCGCTTGGCAATGTAGCCCATCGCAAAAAATTTAGTAGGACGTCCTTTTTAAAACCTGAAAACCTATACAGTAAAGTAGACAGGGGGAGGTCTCATCCTTTGTGCATGGACTTTTAAATTTAAAAAACAAAAAAACAAAAACTGTGGTCCCTCCAGCGTAGTGAGTTACTTTAAATCCACTTGGCTTTCAGAGCATGAATTCTAAGATAGTGTTAACAGCATTTCAGAATTTCTGACCTGGATGATTCCAGAACAGCAAAATATAGAAATGATCAGTTTTCTCTCTTATCACTATCCAAGGCCACTGAATCTGGCCTGCTAATGTAGAAAGGTTGTTGTTGAGGCAGAAAACCCCAATTTCAAATGGAAGTTTATTGTTTAGCCTACCCTGTTTCTCCCAAAATAAGACATCCCCTTATAATAAGCCCAATTGGGCTTTTCAGGGCATGGCAATAAGGCCGACTGCTTATTTCAGGGTTCAGAAAAATATACGACAGGGTCTTATTTTCGGGGAAACATGGTATGTTAAGAAATCTTGTATTTACATGTTTTGGCACTGTCACAGGTGCCATCTTGTCTGTTTTGACCAACCGCTGCAAACATCCTTGCTTGGTGATCTGTCTTCCAAGTCTTAAATAGACTAAGGAACTGAAGGTTCAGCTTTCCTGTCTTTTCTATCCTCACCATTGCATGGTTATAGTTCCCAGCTCTCTATATAATTGTCCAATGAAATTGTTCACTCATCCACTCT